TTGTAATTCTAAGAAAACAATAAATAAATTATAATAGAAAGAGTTTGTAACATGTGAATACAGCTTGTATTTATTGTACTACTTAATAATACATTTAATATACATTTACTATAGAAAAAAATGATTGATGAAAGTTTTTTTTCAAAAAACACAATTTTTTTCATGTTAATAACAAAAATATATTTTTATAGTAACAGTAACACACAAAAACAACTTTTATTTGATTAGTATGTAATAAGATTACTGAAACATTTAATGTATAGATAATTTTTTGAATTATTCAAATATCATATTGTAAGGTTTTCTTACAATACCGCAACTTTTCTAGTTGCGGTATTGAATAATTGTTATTGCTCAAAGTTCATTGAAATGAAAGTGCATCATAAAATGCATGTACATCTTTGGGTAAGATAGTTTTCATGCTTTGAAGATCATCAAACTTTCTTTTGTTGATAGGCCTACAGTTAGTGTACATAGAGAGCCATTCAACTGTGTTCTGGGTGCTCCTGAAATGAGTGGGTAATGAGTTTCACTCACTGGGACCTCTAAAACGTGCGCTTGCTTTACTCTGAGGACAAAGTAGCACTGACTGAATGTCCATAGTCCAAACTGACACACTTTCATCCATTAATCATTTTTCCTTGTCTTGATCTTTTTGTCATCATCTTTTAAAACTAAATGAGTCTGGTGTTCTTCTACTGTAATGTTTCCCATTTTTGCTGCAATACTAGTGTCACATTAGTCTTTGCAAGGCATAAAAACTGACATCTTGAGAGAGTGAAAGGTATTCCTAAAATATGTTAATTCAGCTACTCTTCTTTTAGCAGAGATTGCATCTGATGTATATAAGTTATTTAAATCAATTACCTTTGTGCCTGGCTCAAGAAATCTTTTTTCCTTATAGGCTCAAACCTTTCAACCATAATGAGAGCCCACACAGTGTACTTTAAGTAGCCACTCTTTTATAAATTGTCCGTCTTCATCAGACATGTTTTTACTAGGAACAGATTTTTCAATCTCTTCCATATCATCTGGACATTTACCACATTATTCCAGCATTTAGCCAATCATTAATAGTTCTCTCTGGCATTCCTAAAGTGGAACAAAACATTTTTTTGAACACTTAGTCAACAGTTCCATTTTGAAGTCTCAATTTATACATGAAATTATAGACCTTTTGTTATTTTCTGATTTCTTTTAATTCTTTGAAACAGATGTTACCATGGCTCTAACAACATTTTGCCTCTCACTCCAGGATGTCATTTCCTAGAAAGATGTATAGATCAAATATCTTTTTTCTTCTGCTACATCCCAACAGTTTCTGATTTCTGGCAAAATTGAGACACATTTTTTACTAATCTTTTTTCTTCATTAACAACTGCTCGTCTGCTGTTATACTCTTCACCTTTAAGCCTCTTTGTCTTTGCTACATTTTCATTCCAAGTTTCTGGCTGTGGTCTAATGCTTTTCTTTTTCTTTACTCGTTCTGCTAAAGGACCTAAACAAAAAGAGTCCAGTTCAGATGGCTGATATTCGTTTTTTCTTGAATGTCTATCATCCAAGGTATTCGATAAGGGAGGAACTTAATTCAATGTTTGTCTCTTCTCTCAGGTCTTGTTCATTGACTAATATCCCAACAGGGAGAAAGCTATTATCACATGTTTCCTCATCATCTTTGGAACCTGAACATTAAGATAAGTTTTTAAATTAAATGCTTAGATTATTGAATCTCTACATACAACATTATTGAGTCATAATATAAAGTCACATGTTCCAAAGTGTATAAAGTCGATTGACTCTAGACCAAGTATTTTTCCTCTAGACACCTATCTACTACATGTATAAGGTTTATTTTACTTTATACATTAAAGGGACTGCCAAGTCCTGAGACATGTTGTGTTCATATTAAAGAGAATCTTAAAAAAAAACGTCTGAGCAAATTTTTTTTGATTAAAACTAATTAATAAATGTATACCAAGAGAAACAAATCTTGTTGTTTTAGTCGAAGCTCGTCTTCTCCATTTTCTGCGGTATTTTGAGTATGTAAAATAAACGCGATTTTCCAGGCGCATTATACAGACTTGATAATTTATTCAAGCGCGTTTAATTCATAGGAGTTTTAGTGCATGACGTCATTGGAAGCATTCTAGAAATTCTTTAAAAGTTTTACTATTAAATTTTACTAAAATAGCTAACTATAGTTATTTATTTTATTAAAAGTTTATTTTATTAATTGTTCGTTAGTTTTTTACAAATCTAACGAACAATTAATTAAACCAAGCACTAAGAAAAGATATAAAAATTAAGAATATATTAATAAAATATATAATTTGTAATTAACTTTCAAAATTTTGACAATTTAAAAAATATTTATTATAAAACATTTATTTTTGTAAACAAATGATAATAGTTTAAAAGATTTACGACTTTACAGATGTGGCTCCGAGAATGAGCCATAATATTTAAGTAATAGTTCATTTGATAATATATTCTTAAAAAAATTTATGCTAGATATCTTAAAACGCAACAAATCATAAATAATACAATTCCTAAAACATTTCAACAGAATACTCTAGAACTTTATTTTGCTTAGTCAGCGATTTTTTTGAACCAATAGAATTAGTTTGTTCACAAATTTGGCGGTTTGCAAAGTTTCTTTTTATTTTCTCGCAAGATGTTTTAAGAACATCCAAGTTAATTATGTTTCCATGTATGTCTGTAAAATAAAAATTAATATATATTAATTTTTTAATTCTTAAGCCCCCGCCATAATATATATTGGATGTTATAATAATGGAAATATAAATAATGAAATAAGTTCACCTCAATACCAAAAAATACATTTTTGAAAATCAGAGAAAAAATGCGTTAATAATTTTTTTTTTAAATATTTACAAAGTAAGTTAATAAAAGTGCATTATTATTTAGGTTAAAAATGGTTTTATCTAATATTTTGAAAGAAAAACTTATAACAAAAGAAATCAAAATACATGTGGTCTAGACGATTATTTAAAAAAAGTTGCGCAAATAAAATACTTTTGTTTTGAATTTTTTTACAAACACATTTTAGAACTTTATAATATATTAAAAATGAATATGATTTGGAAATTATATGTAAAAAATAACAATCGGTGTTTTAAACAAACAAACAAAAAAAAGTCTATGATGTCATGCACTCCTATGATTTTTTTTTTTTTTTTTTTATTTGCATTCACTCCCAACAAGGCTGCAAGCAACCACTATTAAGTTGGGAGTTACTAGGAAAAAAAAAGAACAGAGTTATAGAGCAAGGAAAGGGTTGACAGAAGACTTGAAAAGTTGAAGGTTGTATGAGTCAGGAAAATATGAAGATGGGAGAGAGTTCCAAAGGATTGAAGTGCGGGGAAAAAAACTAGATAAATAAAAGTTTTTAGAGCATGCAGGGACAGATACAGTAAACGAATGAGACTTAGCTGAATGACGAGTAAAACGAGAATGAATTTTAGTTGATGGAACTAGAGATGATAACTCCTTTGAGCAATGACCATGATAGTATTTGTAGGAAAGAGAAAGAGATGCAACTTTACGAAGATGGTAAAGAGGTTCAAGCTTAGCAGATAGTCCAGGTCCAACAACATTTACAATGCGTTTTTGGACCTTGTCAAGAAGAGAAAGTGAATCATTAGAAGAACCAGAATTAAACGCGCTTAAATAAATTTTTAAGTCTGTATAATGTGCCTGGAAAAACGCATTTATTTTACATACTCAAAATACTGCAGAAAATGGAGAAGACGAGCTTCGATTTGTTTTTCTCGGTATACATTTATTAATTAGTTTTAATAAAAAAAAATTTGCTCAGACGTTTTTTTTTAACATTCTCTTTAATATGAACACAACATGTCTCGGAACTTGGTAGTCCCTTTAAAACAAAATATTATTATATTATTTGTTTTAATTAAAATTAATAACACTGGAAAAATCAAGATACTATAACTATAATAGGCAAACTATCACAATTGAAATATCACAAATAAAAAAATACAGCGTAAAAATAAAATAAAATAATGTTTGTAACAGTTATTGAAGATGAATATGAATGAATTGTTGTGACGGTCGTAACTGTGACAGTCGTATTGAAAAATCCTATGCTTAAAAATAACAAATGTAATGACACAATCAACTATGTAAGAAAAAATGTATAAATGATTATTAACAACCATGTATATTATTTTAAAAAAATGCAATATAACATTATCAAAGTTTTAAATTATGGATATACGGTACAATTTTTAACACTGAACTACTGGAATGTAAATAAGTGTCAAAACACGATTATGCGACCCTTACAACTTTAAAACCATTCTATGGTATATAACAATAATTTTTTTGAATAACTTTAAAAGCACTGATGTTGTTAACATACTTAAATTTGGAGTTTGTACAATGCGTGAAAGTGTTGTATCTGAAACATCAATCCTGTGGGTGCCAATGCATTGACACCTGTGGGTGCCCATGCATTGCTCCAATATAAATGTGTTATTACTGTCATGATTTTTTGAATTTTTCTTTTTTTATCATTGTTTTTGTGTGACAAACGTCAAATTTTTTTGTTTGTATGTGAAATTGTAAATTTTTTTTTTTTTTTTTTTTTTTTTTTTTTTTTTTGTATTTTTTTTATAATGGTGTTTGTCTTATTTAACATACAACAAAATATTTTTAACATACAACAAAAATTTTGATTTGTTTTGATTATTTTTAATAGTTTTGTTATTTGTGAAACTATTAACTTCTTTGGCAAGTTTATTATTTTATAAAGATGATTGATAAAAATAGTGACTTTATCAATCATCTGTTTTCTTATTTTTGATAGTAATAACAATATGTTTATTAGAAATATTGTAATAATTATTTAATGTGCTGATTTTGGAAAATAAATTATTTTAGGTTGTTTGAAGTCTTTTGCTATATAAATATGTTTAAAAATATGACATTGTTAAATATAAATTTATGATTTTTTTTAGAATTAAGTTGTGAAGAAGAATTGCATAAATATGTAGAAGAAAAATATGCACAATTAGTAAATGAGGTCCTTCTTAAATTAGTTTTATTAATGTTTCTGTTAAAGAAAAAAAAAAGTTGATGTAAAAAAGAAATCTCTTTGTTTTTTTTATTTTTCATTATTATTATTTTATTCTCCTTATCCTGTTGTCTTTTGATAAATTTTTAAAAACCTATGCAATCAAAGTTTTTAATTTTGATTGCATGAGTTATTGAACATATAATATAAATTGTCATTTTACATATAAGTTGTTACAGGATATAAAAAATTTGTTGGTGTCGCATCTATGTCGCATCTGATTGTGATTGGATATGCAAAAGTTGTTACCAGGCACACAAATAAATGGATTGCATACAAAATTTGTTATCTGATATGAAAGATTGCATTGGTTATATGAAAGTCATTACTCAAATGCCAAAGTTACTATCTGATATGAATGACTGCATTGGTCATATGAGTGATGTTATCAGACATAAAGAATCACCATTTATCACCTTTTTTTTTAATTTAAAAATAAGTAAACTTTCGCAAATTTGTTTTTAGGTAAACCTGAATCATTTTGGTATGAACTTGTTAATAAAAACAGTTTCACAGTTTTATACTCAGGTTTTCTTTTTGGTTTCTTTTTAAAAAATATTTTCTTAGAAATAAAAGGGTTTAAAAATTGATGTTATAAATTAATCTCATAGACTTTCAAAGGCTTTTTTAGAAATTATATTATTTTATTTGTACAGGAGAATTCACCTAATGTGCCATCATCTTTATTAAAGCTTTTGTTTTGTGAAGATGTGCAAGCTATTCGTGAGAAGTGGAAACATTCTACAAAAGAAAGTATGATTCATGAGTAAGTGCTTGATATTTGTTTAAGGGTTATCGATAAATTACATCATGCCATTTTCAATCATTCCTCATTACAATATGTAACTCTTTAGTAACAAGTCTTGTACAAGTTGTCACAAAGCTACTAACCCCTTCCCTCCCACTTTCTTGTCTATGATTTATTTTATGGATGACCCTTTAGTGTTAAACTAGCTATACTTGATTAGCCAAACACTATATTTGATTACTCAACACTATGCTTGATTATTCAACACTATGCTTGATTATTCAACACTATGCTTGATTACTCAAAACTATGCTTAATTACTCAACACTATGCTTAATTACTCAACACTATGCTTGATTACTCAACACTATGCTTGATTACTTAACACTATGCTTGATTACTCAACATTATGCTTGATTACTCAACACGATGCTTGATTAGCCTAAGATGATACTAACACTTATTTCTCAATTATTTTCTTATGTTATTAAAAAAAAAAAAATTTTATGCCACTCTTTTAAAACTTATAAATAAAAATTAACAAAATGATTAAACTAACATAATCTCAAACTTTTAGTATTTTAGTTTACCGTAAATAAACTTTTTTAACAGACTTAAATGTAAATAAAAGTCATTAAAGTCAATGATTGAAAATGTTTGGCGCTAATAGGAACGAGTTGTACTTAGAAATAGTTTATTTTTTACTTTCAAGTCCATTTTTAAAATTTTTTTTAAAAGGTTTTTTTTTTTTTTTTTCATTATTAGATTAGCTATTTAATTACAAAAGTTTTGAAAAAGTTTTATACTTTTTATTTTACATTTTTTTACACATTGTAGAGTACTATTGCAACTTAATTTATTGTAGAGTACTATTGCAACTTCATTTATTGTAGAGTACTATTGCAACTTCATTTATTGTAGAGTACTATTGCAACTTCATTTATTGCTTGAGTGTGTTTCACATGGTATCAAACACAATGATTCTATTAAAATGGTATTTTTTTTAAATCTAAATATCTATTAAAATTGTCATTTTTAAATTAAAATGCTTTGAATGAGTTTACGTACAGTTTTTGTTTTTTAGGTTAGTGCTTTTTTTCGTTTTCTTACATTTGAAGAAAGCACAATGTATGTTCGTGATCATCTGAATAAGGTTATCATGCCAAAGTAAGTTCTATGGTTTTTTTTACCATAAATACTATTCAGAATATTTAATTTATGGTTTTACTTTTTATCTTTGTATTTACTATTTTGTAACTTAATTCTTATTAGTCGTTTCTATTCTTTAAAAAATTTCATTTGTTGTAAATGTTGATCTCACATTATATTGGTTTACTAAAATTATTTAATTAAGGAGGTTTTTAATGATGTTGATGTTGTTACTATTTCTTAGTTACTATACAAATAACTATGATTATTGAAAAGTACAGTTATTGAAAAGTATGGTTATTGAAAAATATGGCTATCGAAGAATATGGTTATTGAAAAGTATGGTCTTGAAGATTAAATTATTTATAAACTAGGTGTATGGGAAAAAAAATTAGCCTATAGAAGATTTACTTGTTCAACATCAATTAACTAAAATGATTTAAGCAACAAGTTTACTAGTTCACAACTAGTTTACTATAACTTCATATAATTTTATATTTTATGTGCCTCTGTAATAAAAAAATATTTAGAAAATAACAAAAAAAAATTATTATCAAACTTTAGGGTGTCCTAAAAAACAACATTTTTTGTTTTATATATATATATATATATATATATATATATATATATATATATATATATATATATATATATATATATATACCCACAACCCTCGGAACTAGGGTCGACATTCTGAAATGCTGACCTAATTACCAACCTCAAGGTGTTTGAGATTGACATAATTTTTTTGCCAACCTAATACCAACCTTAAAAGTTAGCAAATTATTGTCGACCTCATTTTTTCCTAATTCTGAGGATTGATATGCATATATATATATATATATATATATATATATATATATATATATATATACATGGGTGCATATATGTAAATATTAAAGATGATTTCTTTATATTATCATGTTTAATAATGTATATTTTAAAGAGTGCTCAATAGATAGACTTGAGCTATATAGTATATATATATATTACTATTACTCACAGTATCAGGAATTAGCTTTTTATTAGCATTTAGCTAATTCCTGATACTGCGGGTAACAGTAATATATATACTATATAGCTCAAGTCTATCTATTGAGCACTCTTTAAAATATACATTATTATAAATGATAATATAAAGAAATCATCTTTAATATTTACATATATGCACCCATGAATATATATATATATATATATATATATATATATATATATATATATATATATATATATATATATATATATATATATATATATATATATATATATATATATATATATATGCATATCAATCCTCAGAATTAGGAAAAAATGAGGTCGACAATAATTTGCTAACTTTTAAGGTTGGTATTCGGTTGGCAAAAAAATTATGTTAATCTCAAACACCTTGAGGTTGGCAATTAGGTCAGCATTTCAGAATGTCGACCCTAGTTCCGAGGTTTTTTTTTTTTTTTTCACCTCCTCAAGGCCGAGAAGGCCACTACAACTCTATAACTCCGAAACACGAACCTTGACGAACAAGGCCGCTGCGCTGAGAAACGAGTTGATGTTGTGGGTATATATATATATATATATATATATATATATATATATATATATATATATATATATATATATAAATATATATATATATATATATATATATATATATATATATATATATGTATATATATTATATTTTATATTAAAATAATAATTAAGTACAATTAAATTTGTAACATTACCTGGAGTTTCACGCTTTATATATATATATATATATATATATATATATATATATATATATATATATATATATATATATATATATATATATATATATATAAATATAAATATATATAAATATATATATATATATATATATATATATATATATATATATATATATATATATATATATATATATATATATATATATATATATATATATCTTTATGTATGTATATATGCATGTATGTAGGTTCCAGTCTACTATCCCAGAATTTTTACAAGAAATATATGATGACTTGATGATAGAACCTCCATCTGAGCTAGGATGTGTTGATATTTCACCTCTAAATTCTGTTGTTCAGTCTCCTAGTTCCGCTTACTCAAATATTTCTTCTGTTCCTTCTACATGCTGGTATGTATTATTTTTTTATATATATAATTTAAATGTAATAATTTAAAATAGACATCATTACCTTAATAATCATCATCAATAACATACACCATGGATTTCTCTTATTACACCATAGAAATACAAATTTTGACAATATTCTTTATTTACATATTATTCTCTCAAAAATAAGTTGTGAATATGGAGCTGATTTAAAAACGTTTATACCTAATCAATGAAAATATTTATTGTAAAAATAAGTTCTTTTATTACGTGTTTTATATGGTTGCTCTTATATGGTTATTCTATATGATTGCTTTTTGTTATTAATTTTTTAAATTTAACTTTTTTTGTTATTAATTATATATATATATATATATATATATATATATATATATATATATATATATATATATATATATATATATATATATATATATATATATATATATATATATTTATATATATATATATATATATATATATATATATATATACATAAATTTATATATATATAGTATATACATATATATAATATATACATATATATATAATATATATATATATATATATATATATATATATTGGCTTTTAGAGTACAGAAGGTAAAAATGATTCTTTTTTTAATAAATAATGTCACTTTTTATTACTTTTGACATTCATCCAACATTTGTGTGTTGTCATAAAGTTAAAACCATTAATTTAATGATTCTTTTAAAAAAGCACAAAAACGCAAATTTATATGACCAGAATGTTTTTAAAAATATAAACAGATAAAAAATAAAGTTTTTATTTCTATGTTTTAAATATAATGCTTTATTTTTGTTTTTTTTACTGTAAATCATGCACAAGTGTTGCTACATCGACTATCTTATAGCCTGACTCGCAACAGAGTGCTGCTACATCGACTAACAAATAGCCTGACTTGTAACAGATTGCTGCTACATCGACTGACAAATAGCCTGATTCGCAATGGAGTGCTGCTACATCGACTGAGGGTTTTGTTTGGGCAGACAGTCTATCAAATAATAAAAGAAAGAAAGAAAAAAATTCCCGTCTTGCATTTAATTTTTTTTACTATTTGAAACCAACTCGTTTAAAAATCAAAGGATTTTTGGACAAAGGCTGCAAATTTTGGACAATGGATTATATGTTTGGCTGCGCTTGATAATTTTCCACTTAGTGATAAACAAAAAGTTTTCTTCTTTGAGTTTCGAAATTTCTTTAGATAATTCTGTATCATTGCTGTACAGCAATGATACATTTAAGATACAATTTAATGATACAATTAAGTACATACTTAATTAAATTAAAAGATTTTAAATGATTTGAGTAGCTTAACTTAAAAGGGGTTTCACTAATACCAATAAAAACTTTTTCTGTGTAATCTGGTTTATTGGATGAAATAGTAGCTTAATACACAATGTTCTTACTTAATTTAAGCTTAATACACAATGTTCTTTAATAATAATAAGCTTAATACACAATGTTCACAAAATTTAAGCTTAATACACAATGTTCTTACTTAATACACAATGTTCTTACTTGGACACTGGTTGTTCATAATGAATGTAGATTTAATGAAAAGTTTTATATTTTAATGCAACAGGGGAAAATCTGTTGAACAAAAGGAACAAGTTGGTTTCAAATTGTAGTCATAAAAGTAGGAGTTTATTTTATGACTACATTTTATGATACTGGCAATTAGCTGATTTATATAAAATTTTTTTTGACGTTTTCTTGTATTGTCTCTATAGACAGTAGATGTCGCTCCACTGTATTATGTAATTTTATTAACAGTTTTTTTTTAGTTTTTGATATAGCACATGGCTGATGATTGCCGTATAGGCATTAAACTTATAGTCCCATTAAAATTTATGTGATAATTTTTTTTTTTTTAACAATTGATCAGCGAAAGAAAATCAGTTAAGCGCTTCCCGAGTGTTGCTGGTGAATGTTCCAAGAAGTTTATTGCAGTTCAATTGAAAACCACTAAGGAAAAGAAGAGTATGTAAATGTTAAAAAATATAAATTATATTATCCTACTTAGTATATTAAAATACGTATACAATATATAATATACTGTATTAATGTAACTATGATATATGGATACTTTAAGTACAATAATATATATATATATATATATATATATATATATATATATATATATATATATATATATATATATATATATATATATATATATATATATATATATATATATATATATATATATATATATATATATATATATATATATATATATATATATATATATATATATATATATATATATATATATATATACAGGGCTTAATTTAACAGTCGGACATCGGACATTGTTCGGCTAAAACCTCAGATTGTCCGATCAATTTACAAAGTCATCGGACATTTTGTCCGGCAAATTTTTAGTTCTTTAAAATAAAATTTTAATCATTGATTTGAAATTGAAAAATTTAAACTTAATGTAAACTATTAGACAAACTTATAAAATATGTTGATAATGGAGGCATTCATTCCCAAAAAAAGTTGTTATTAATTGTAGTTTTAATGACTGTTCATTAACAGTTTTATTGTTGTACTATTAAATTTAAAATTATTGCTTATTTAAAACGATCGCAAAAGTCAAAGTATGTTCGATTGATTACTGCAAACGCCGTGGACACCGAAAAGCAAAGAAAAGCTAGCAGTTTAAAAAATTTCATAATAAAAGATTTTACAAATGTGTTCTTTTAGAGGCTGAGATTATGAAGTTCTAGCTTTATAAAACTTGTCTGCCAAAGAAGGAGTGCCTTTTTGAAAAGTAGATATATAATAACCTGTAGAACTCATAAAATTTTCTGTGTTGAATTGATCAAATTTTAATGACATGCAGCGCGTGGAATTTTTAAATTAAATAATAGCTTGTAAATATTATATTGCGTTTGATTTAACCGCCTTTAAATATGTAAAAGCGAAGTTTAAGTTTTTTATATCAAGTTTAAAAGTAATATGTTTACCTTAATATTTAATATATTAAAGACATTGTTATACTATATTACTATAACAAACTTGTTTTTGTTGCCGTTTTTATTATTGATAAAAATAGTTACATGAACGCCATATAAAAATGCCATACAAAACCTTTTTGGCGCTTAAAGTGGAGCTTATGCGCAAAATTGACTCTTAGCATATTATATTTTTTCAAGTAAAAAAATGTACATAACTTTTATAAACCAGTAATGCAATTCAATGTAAACTAACAAGGATTTCGAGAGAAAAAAGTTCAATAAAACTTCAAGTCTATCTAAAAAAATGTGCAGTATTGAATTTAAACTATTTCATTAAAAATACAAAGATCTACGATGATAAAAATTCTAAATATTAAAAAAAAAAAACTACAACTTCACTAGCCTAAAACAAAATAAACTGGGAAAACATAACATATATTTTGATTGGATAATTGGGTTCCATAAAACTCAGATACGCCAGAAGCTAGTCTAAAAAAACCCATCTGCAGTACTTTTTTACTGTGTTCCATCTGCAGTATCTTTTTCCTGTGTTCCTTTCAACTAAACAAATATGAATATATGTAAATACTGGTGAAAATTAAATATTTAAATTTTATTTCAAAAATTTGATTGGACAATGTCCCACCAAAATACTTTTTGGTTGATCATTTTGTCCGGGACCTTTTAAAAAATTAAATTAAGCCCTGTATGTATATATATATATATATATATATATATATATATATATATATATATATATATATATATATATATATATATATATATATATATATATATATTTAACAAATATATAAAGTTCCAGGTAACAGAAGAAAAACTATTCAAACTAAGATGAGTAAAATATATTTATTAGTTAAATTTTAACAAATATTTTAAATTTTTCTCTGACGCAGATGGCCTTTCATATAAAATCAGCTGTGTATGAGATTTACAAAACTATAAAAAAGTCTTTGTATTGAACTTCCTATAAAAAGTTTAAAAAGGAAGTAATTAAGGTTTGTATATAAAAAAACTACAATTAACAAAAATATAGTATAATTTGATTCTTGTTGGTAAAGAAATTTTAAAAGTAATATGAAATTAATTACTTTCCTTTCTGTTTATTGTTTCATGTTCATTGTGTTCTGTTTATTGTGTCATGTTTATTGTGTCATGTCCCTGTTTATGTAGTTGAGCTTCATAAATAAGAATGTAAATTCTCATTTGAGACTTTTAACATTGGAAATAATTTTAAAAAAGGTTCATTTTTATGGCATTTGAAAACATGATGATCTAATTTTTCTGAACCAATACCTGTTCTGCATGTTAAGATGTGTAGATTAGTTCTTAACCTTAGGTTATTATTTTTACCAATGTATGTTGTTTTTCCATCACATCCATTACATGATAAAAAATAAATAATAAATTTTGAATCAAAAATGGTGTCTTCAATTTGTGTTTTTAGGTAGCCCAAATAAGGTATGGTTTGGTAAATATATATGGTTTGGTCCCCAAGTTTGTGAGGTTTCACCAATATAACAAGATTATTTCCTGATCTATAACAGATTTACATCCTGCACAAACAAATTTGTAAACAACAAATTAATTAAAATCTACAGAATGGTTATCTTTAGATGTAAACAAGTTCGACACATTTAGTGAATGTCAATCTTATGGTAACCAATTTACAATGTCTCTAATAATTGTGTGTAATCTTTGCTTTGTTAGCTCAGATAATTTGTCAATATAAGGTTATGAGTTAATTATTAATTAATCAGATAATTTACCAATATGAGTTTAAAATAGCAAGAGTTTGTTAGGTCTTCAGATGATAATGAAACATCATAATTACTTTTATTTAAGTAAGAGTTTAATGTTTGAGAATTTCTAAAAGATTTTTAATATCATAACGAAGACCAAGGACAGTATTGTTTATTTTGAAAGTTCTATCGATTAAACATTTTATAAAACTTATTTTTTATGAAAATGTGGTAAAGCTGTAAAAGTTGGTGTTTAATCCAGTAAAGGCTTTTTTATGAAAGACTTTTGTAGTTGTTGAACTGTTGACTTACATAAAGTTGTGTGCAAAAAATATATTTTTGAGTTTTCTTCCTTTTTCATGTAAAAGATATAAAAGAATGATTTTTGTTGATGTAATCCAAGAATAAAAGTGTGTGGTTTTCTGAAGGGAAAGTAGCAAAAATGTCATCTACATAAATTTTTAAAACAACGGTTTTACTCTATTATAATTCATTTTTCTTTAAAATTACCCATAAAAAGTATTAGCAAGTACAGGTGCTAACGGAGAACCCATAGCAACGCCATTAATTTGGTATTAAAGCTGTACTTTAAAGTGAAAATGTATTTGTGCTGTTGTTAAAAGCAAGAGTTTTTTTAAATTACTTTTGTTGATTTTAAGATTTGTTATGTTTTTTATAATATTATCGACAGCAATATCTATTGTTTTTTGTAATGTAGTGTTTATAAATAAGCTTGTGATATCAGGAAAAACAAGCAAGCTGTTAAATAGGTTTGCTTTGTTTACATCTTTTACAAAGGTGAAAGAATCTTTAGGACAAATTTCAGACAGTATCAATAGATTTAATAAAAAATATCAAAGGTCTAGCCAAATGATAGTTATAAGTTCCAATGACGATACAATAGGTCAAAAACATATATCATGATCAGAAGACCTTAATTTATTCATTTTCGGAAGCGAGCAAGACAAGAACTTGTAGAATAAATTTTAATATAATTTGAATCATCAAAGAAACCTTGACATTTGAGTTTCCTTAAGAAGTTTTAAAGTTGTGTTACCCTTTTAATTGTGATTTTTTTTTGTTGTTGTCATAAACCTTTCTCTCCAATATAACAACACCATTTCTTTTATCTGGTTTTAAAATGACAATATCCAGATTTTTACTTAGTTTTTTTAAATTGTCATGCTTGTGAGATGTTTAGGTGAACATCATAATTACCTTTATGTAAGAGTTATGGATTTTTCTTATTATCCAACATAAGTACTTCTGACAGGAAGTCTTCTTCTTTTCTTATTTTGTTTTGCCTTTGATTTTTATGTTATGAAATCTAGCAATTTGTTTACAAACATGTTTTTAAGTTATGAAATCTAGCAATTTTAAACTTGATTGTTATTTTTTGAGAAGATAAGAACTTTTTTGATTAATTTATAATTTTGTTAATGTTGATGAAATTAAATCTAGTTTTGAGTTGTTTTATTTTATCTTTATTTGATTTTCGGTAAACAATTTCTAGAAAGGGTGAAATTAAGAATCATCATTGGTTTAGGTTTGCTCCAGTTATCTAAATTTTTGCAAGTAGTTCACATTTGTCATTAATAATATATACTTGCTTTTTCAAAACGCTAAAATGCTTTTAGTAATTATAGTAATAAAAATTTTGATCACTTATCGGATCCTACAATGCAACAGGACACGGAACATGTTACACTAGGTTACATGTTACTAGTATTACGGTGTTCATGTTGACCATACACCTGACATGACAAAATTAAGACTAATATAAAGCATAGTTGAAAGGATTGTAATTTCTCCAGCAAGTTTTCTAGTGTTAGTTGCAGTTGTGTCACTGCAAACACCAATAATATTGGTGACAATATTATAGTATTTTTTTATTTTATCTTAATTTTTTAAATTTGTAAATAATGAGAATATTTTATGCAATTGTAGTTTAAACTTTTGTTACATTTTGTACATTTTATTAAAAATTTTTCAATTAATATTATTGAATGGTTGGCTGAGAGGGGTATTAAAAAATCTTTGTAGGCTGTTGGTGGAAAATCAACAAATTTAAATACTGGTTAGGAGGGTGTGGTCATAAAATATTTAGATATAAAAGCAAAAAACCTACAATGATTTAATTTTCAACTCCACTCAAATGTGTTGCCAGTGAGGCGACTGTATTTTTGAATCAAACAATACATTTATGCAATTAATTGTTTTTCAACTATTTTATAATAATAATTGAATCTAGATGATAAAAAAGTGAAAAGAAATTTGTTCGAAAAGAATGTTTCTACTCCACAAAAAGATGTTGGAAATAGTAAGTGTTTTATTCACATTATATCAAAGATGTTTACCTTTTGATATTTAAAGGTTAGACTACGTTTTCCCTCAAATTTTAAAAATGTTAATTTTATCCTTTTTTTTTTTTTTTTTTTTTTTTGCTTTTAAACCGTTGTTAAATTCTTCATGTTTGTCATCTTGTTTTGTGTTTATCCTTTTTATGGTTTTTAATGTATAGACTTTATTTAGCCTAAAAGGTTTAAAAATTACAATGTATTTTTTTTCTTTTCTGAATTCACCTCTCCTAAACTGTTTACCACAACTACCAGGTTAGCTAATAACAGTCACATGTTCTAAAGTATGTATCCTGGAAGCAGAATTACTCAAAAATAAATTTAGTTTTTTTTAATATAAAGTATAGTTTAGTTGTTTTTAGGGTCAAAACTTTTTGATTTATTTCATATCATAAAGAAATGCTGGTAATAACAATGTTTGTACTTAAGTTACAGTTCTACAGTACTTAAATTAAAGCTATACATTTGAAATAATTAAATAGATATTGAATTTTGGGTATGAAGTATCATCACATATAGTATCATCACACGAATTATCATCACATGAAGTATCATCACTGAGGTGCATTACATTTATGAGTTTTGGTTTTTAAAACTTTTTATCAGTATTTGAGCCCCAAAAATATAATCAGTACTTTATTGTAAAGATATTGTAAAAAGGTTGTTTTTCAAACTTTAAAAGAAAACTCAAACTTTTGAAGAAAAATTAATTGTCATAGTGAAGGTTTTTTCTTCTGTTTTTTCTACTTATCCTTCATGCTGTTCAGAGTATGGATGCAATGTTAACTAATGCAAAAAAGAAAGCAGCATTTCTTATAGATAACTAAACAGCACATCCAACAATCAATAATCTAAAATCTATAGAGCTCATTTTTTTTCCACTGAAAACCACATATAACTTCCAATAAATAGATAAGTGAGTTAAACGCTCTTTGATGATGATCCTTTTTTTCTACTTTAGATTTTCAAAAACTAGTAATAGAAATTTATGAAGGAAAAGATCTTACTTAGATTTTTGCTTTTATCAATAGATTTCCTTCATCATTTTTTTTAATTTTATTTTTTCTATGCTCATTCATCTCCAAGCTTTAAACAGGTGAATATTGTCATGTTAAACAAGTTACAAATTACTTACAGAATTTTATGTAGCTATTTCAACAACTTAACAAAAGAAATTTCAACAAATTAATTTCAACAACTTAACAAAAGAAATTTCAACAACTTAATTTCAACAACTAAACAAAAGAAATTTTAACAACTTAATTTCAACAACTTAACAAAAGGATTTTCAACAACTTAAAAAAAGAAATTTCAACAACTTAATTTCGACAACTAAACAAAAGAAATTTCAACAACTTAATTTCAACAACTTAACAAAAGAATTTTCAATAACTTAACAAAAGAAATTTCAACAACTTAACAAAAGAAATTTCAACAACAAAAGAAAGTTTCATTAAACTTCAAGTAAAACTTTTTTTCAGTGACACATTTACACAAATACAAATAATCATTGGATTTCATAGCAAGCTATACCATATTGACATTATTTTTGTGTTGTTTTTAGTATACTTTTTTTTTCATTTTAGTATGCTTTTTTTTTTGATAAACAAAGAAACAAAAGTAGAGTAAAGTAACAAATAAAAAGAAAGAAAAAATAAGAAGATTTAAATAATCAATTAAAAAAGAAAGAAGAAAAAGAAAGTGTAAAGCCAGAAGATTGATTTTTTTTTTTTTTTAATAATTCTTTTTTCTTTACGATGTAACTTGTAATCATGATTATAATTCATTAGTTGTTATTATTTTTAATTCATTAGTTATTATTATTTTTCAGTCATTATATTATTATTTGTTTTCTCACATTATAATGTTTTTTTATAGTTAATTGTATTTATTTTTTAGTCCTCATTTGATACCTAGTTATTTTATTTATTACATATATTTTTAATATTATATTTTTATATACTTATTTATTATTGACTTATTTTCATTTATTATTATTTTAGTATCTTTGCTAACAATATTATTATTAGTAGCAGTTAACAGTAGTTATATTATTATTAGTATATATTATTAATATAGTTTAGATATTATTAATGTATTATTAGTTTTTTTATATTTGATATCTTTAGTTGTCTTAGTTACTTTAAATATTAGTTCTTGGTTTGTCAAAGTTTTATTTATTTCTATTGTTTAATTTTATAACTGTTAGCTTTTAGTTACCTTTAGTGTTACTCATTTTTTCTATCATTTCTTTATATTGTTATGAAAATTATTTTTAGTTACTCACGCCAACGGTTACCCAAGTTTTAAACTAATAAATTTAGTCTTTTACTTTTATCTTTTATTTCACACTTTAGTCACTTAAACTAGTTAATACTGCATATACATATATATATATATATTTTCTAAAGATTATGGCACTTAAATCTTCCCGCAACACTCGTCATAAAAATACAATTGATAATCGGAGAACCATCCAATGTGATCTTGGTAACTCATGGGTCCATGCAAAGTGTAATCATATTGATGCACACTCTTTGATCTTCTTTTGAATGGCTCGTCAGATGTGTATTGTCATAGCTGTTTATCTAAGAGCATGACCTTTAGCTCGATTTCAAGCTTGGAGCTTAAGTCAAAATTATTGTGCAAAAATATATCTACTAGTTCATTAAATTCTTTTGAGACTCCAAGTAATCATAAAAATATCTTTGAAGATCTAAATAAATTTCTCAGTTCTGTTAATTGCAAACACTATGGCGTTATTGATCTCAATAAAACTATGCTTCCCAATTCAGACCTGTATATTCATCTTAACATCGCTTCTCTACCATTCCACATTGACGAACTCTGTAGTCTTATCAGCTCTCTTAATAATTTTCCCTTAGCAATAGATATTACAGAATCTAATTTATATATTAACGATACAAATATAACTGATATATACATAAACAGGTTTAATATTGAGCATTGTCCTACTGAGGCTAAAAAAGGTGGAGCCCTTTTATACTTACGCTCAAATTTAAACTACGTCGTTCGCAATGATCTTGTGATTTACTCTTCAAAATATAGAGTCTATTTTTGTTGAAGTTTTAAAACATTGTGAATCAAATATAATAATTTGCTGCATTTATCGTAACGAAAATTATAAGTAAAGAAAAAAAAAAGATTTTTCTATTGGGTGATTTTAATATGGATATATTAAGTCACAATAAATCTAACCCTGTTTCTACCTAACTAGATTCTTTAACATCTTACTCACTAAGCCCTTCTATAATTTTACCATCATGCATAAATCATAAATAACATATTCACGAACTTTCATTCAACTTATCAGTTCTCATTTAGCCTTATGATTTCAATTTCAGACCACATGGCACAATTTATTTGCATTCCTGACATACCCCACCACCCCAAAAAAGTAAAAACTTACAGACGATGCTTCAAAAAAATTAATAAAAATGTATTTATTAAAGAACTTTCTGATATTAACTGGGAACTCTTCATTAAAAAAGATAATGATGATAATAAATCCATGAATTTTATTTTAAAAACATTTGATGAAATCTTAGACAGACATGCTCCTTATAAAATACTAACCAACCAACAATTTAAACTAAAATCAAAACCTTTGATTACGTATGGAATACTTAAATTTATTTCAGTTAAAAACAAACTTTATAAAAAGTTTATAAAAACCAAAAAATATTTATAAGAAAATTAATTATTTGCAAAATTTAAATTTTATAGAAACATTTATAGCAAAAAAACATACTTTATTACTTATTTTAACAATAATCTAAACAATAATCTAATCTATATTAAAAACACCTGGAAGGGAATAAAAAGAATCATTAATATTAGAACTCTACACACAATACAATTTTTAAACTTAAATTTATCTATTAAATTTTATAATTTTTTCAGCACTGTACATAACTTAGCAAAGCCATACCCCCTAAACGCATATTTAGTGACTTTCTTAACATTCCAAATACTAATTCGTTTTTATTAATCCAGTAACTGAAAATGAAATATCTGGTCTCATTACAAACACGCTTAAAACAGAAAAAAATCTTGGTCCTAATAGCGTACCAACATTCCTCCTCAAACTAGTCTCACACCTTGTTTCAATTTATTTATTTATTTATAATTTTTTTTTACTTATTTTTTATTTCGTCAGTAAAAAAAAAAGAATACAATTCCGTGTAATATAAATAAGATCTACATGACCGGGGTTAAAAGAAGACAATACTTGCCTTATCACTACACCCCGTTTCAAAGTTTCTCTGTACTGTTATAAATAACTCATTTAAAAGTGGTATTTTCCTAAATATTTTTAAAGTTGCCAAAATTATTCCAAATTTTAAAAAAAGATTATAGGTTTCACCAATTACCAACCCATCTCTCTGCTTTCTAATTTAGGTAAACTCTTTGAGAAGGCAATGCATAATAGGCTATATGCTTTTCTTGAAAATTTTTAATGCTTTTACACCCATCAGTATGGGTTTTGTGCCAATCACTCCACAACTCATGCTCTTATTGAAATGACTGAACTAATTAGAAAAGCACTTGATAATAAATACTTTGCATGTGGTGTATTTGTCGATTTGCAGAAAACGTTTGACACAGTGGATCATTCAATTTTGTTGAAAAAATAAGAATATGAAGGGATCAGAGGCGTACCGCTTGAATGGTTTACTACATTTTTAAACAATAGAACACAATTTGTTTCTACTAATGACTCAAAATTTACCTTTTTAAAATGTTCTAATGGTGTTCCTCAGGGTTCAGTATTGGGACCACTGCTTTTTCTTCTTTGTATTAATGATCTTCATAATTCCATTAAGTTTGCTGCTGTTTATCACTTTGCTGATGATACTAATCTAATGCTAGTTAATAAATCCCTTAGAAAAATTAACAAACACATTAACCATGATCTTGCCAATCTAGTTCAGTGGCTTTGCTCTAATAAACATTTTCTAAACTCTAAAAAAACTGAACTCAATATCTTTAAATCAAATAAAACAAAAATCTATAAACATATAAACTTTAGATTAAGTGGAAAAAAAATTGAACCTGTTAACTCAATTAAAATTTGGTTTAAAAATTGATTCAAATCTTTTTTTTTTATCCCACTGTAAAGACAGCAATGAAACTAAATAGATCTAATAGCATGTGGGCCGAAATTTACCGTTATGTTAATCTAGAGACACTCTTGAACATATACCATGCTATTTTTGGATCACATCTTAGATATGCATGCCAAGTATGGGGGCAGTCCCGTCAACAAGTTCTCATCAGGTTATCCCACCTTCAAAACAAGGCTTTAAAAATTATTCATATTTAGAATATTAAGTTTAACCCTAATGTGCTCAACCTAATTTCTGTGACTATATTCAACTTTTAAACTGTCAATTTGTCTGGAACCACCAACACAATAACCAACCTATAACTTTCATTAATTTTTTTTCCAAAAGTGCCAACACTCGTTATCACCTTCGTTCTAATAGTAATTTAAACCTGTCTGTCTCTGCTCGTCAACCTGTCTGTCTCTGCTCGCCTGTGTCACCGCTCTCATAATTACAGGCATAAATCTATAAAATATCAAAGCACTAAAACTTGGAACAACCTTCCTTATGAAAAAAAATTATAGTTAATGTTTATAATTTCTACAATCAGTTTTTGTTGTCTTAAGTATTTTTTTTTTTTTTTTTTTCAATTTCTATTTTATGTTTTTTATTGCTTATTGTTATTTTTATTAATATTTACTATTAATAACTACTTTTAACTTCTATTATTACTAATACTAATATTGTTGTTATTATTGTTGTTGTTATTATTATTATTATTATTATTATTATTAGTATTTTTGTTATTATTGTTGCTATTATTATTATTATTAACATCGTTATTTATGTTATTTATGTTACATCACTATTTTTATGTTATAAAGTTTATTATCGTTATTATATATTGTGAAAATTAGCATTATATTTATTTTAAATAGATATTATTAACATTAGTAGGTGTTTACTTTATATTAGTAAATTTACTATTTGTAAACATCCTTGAATGTAAAAATATAATTCAGAAATAAATTTTGATTGGTTGATTGATTGATTTGTAACTTTTTATATTATGGTTTTTAATTTAATGTATTGACTTGTATATCTTTAGATTGATTATTAAATTGAAAATTATAATAGTTTTCATTAAAATATAATTTATGACTAATTTTAGGAGTTTTCGCTTAATATTTTTTATTATTCAAATTATTTATTATTCAAATTTTTATTTTTTATTATTCAAATATTAATGAAAAAGTAAACGAAAATCATTACCTTCATTTTTAAACTAAAATTTTTAGTTTTGGCTTGATATGTACTTGATATGAAAATTTTTTTATGGGGGAAGGAAGGGGGGCATTGTCATTCCTTGCTGCAGCCCATTTATATATATATATATATATATATATATATATATATATATATATATATATATATATATATATATATATATATATATATATATATATATGTATATATATATATATGTATATATGTATAGATATATATATATGTATATATATATATACATATATACATATATACATATATACATATATACATATATACATATATACATATATATATATATATATATATATATATATATATATATATATATATATATATATATATATATATATATATAGATATATATATAGATATATATATATATATATATATATATATATATATATATATATATATATATATATATATATATATATATATATATATATATATATATATATATATATATATATATATATATATATATATATATATATATATATATATATATATATATATATATATATATATATATATATATATATATATATATATATATATATATATATATATATATATATATATATAGAGAGAGAGAGAGAGAGAGAGAGAGAGAGAGAGAGAGAGAGAGAGAGAGAGAGAGAGAGAGAGATATGCGATATATTATGAAACCACAAGCAAAAAAATAAAAAACCTTTTCTGAACCTTTTCTTCGCCAACTTCAAAAACTGACAACAGCATGACTCCTGCTCAATTATATCAAATGTTGCAACACCTCAAGAAAGACACAAATGTTGCAACACCTCACAGAAAGACACAAATTTTGCAACACCTCACAGAAAGACATAAATGTTGCAACACCTCACAGTAAGACACAAATTTTGCAACAATTCACAGAAAAACACAAATGTTGCAACACATCACAGAAAGACACAAATGTTGCAACACCTCACAGAAAGACACAAATGTTGCAACACCTCACAGAAAGACGCAAAGGCAAAAGGTATTATGGCGCAATAAAAAATGCTCTACAATGCCACCATGTTGGCACACAAAAAAAAAACCAAAAGAGTCACAATTCCGAGAGTTGAAGGCCAATTTTTAAGTACATCTGCGGTCCTTGAGAAACTAAAGGAGGATGATGAATTTAAAAATTCAAATCTATTAAAGAAACCCAAGATTGACTTCAGTGAAGCCTCAGATGAAACCCTGCATTTGCAACATTCTAGAAGTGTAAAAAGTGTTACAGAGTTTGAAAAGAAGCATTGCTAACTCTGAACCACATGTGGTACCAGTGTAAAACTTTTAGTTGCAAGTCTTGGGTTCGTCGATCGTGTTTGTCCTAAAAATACAAAGTTGGTGAGAAGTTTTTTTGAACAAAAATATGTAGTGTACCCATGAATATATTTGACTAATAAACTTAACTTCTAATAAGATTAGTTTTATTTTTATTTTTAATTAATTTAACTTGATTTTATTAATATCTTAATTAATTATTATTAAAATTTAACTAGTTTTTTTTTCTTTATAATAATTTTTTTTTTTTTTTATTTACAAAAATATTTTTTCTCAATTTTTAAATATTTATACAGTGTAAAATATTTTTAAATAAAAAAAATATATATTTTTTCTTTTTAAATTTTATTGAATTTAATGGCTAAACTGTGAACTCTTACTCCAGTTTACCTATACATTAAAAAAAACACTCTATACATTAAAAAAAAACTATAAAATTCAACATTTCACAATCTGTGCACTATCCATTAAACTATGGGTGCGTGTTTAAATTACATTTCTGACGTAATGCTGAAATAGCTTGCTGCTAGGGGCTTCAGTACATAGACTATCTTATAGGGTGCCTTTCATAGGCTATCTTTAGAGTGCCAATACATTAAATGAGGGTTTGGCATTGGGCAGCAATCATTTTCTTTCATTATTCTTTGCTTTTTTCTTCTTTTCCTGAAAACTTTGTATAAGTTAATGTAACAACATTAGGGTAACAATTTTTTATCTTAACACTCTATAGTAGATACATAAGCATTAGTAGCAAGCATATTAATAATAACCTTGTTATCATTTTTTTTTAATTTAAAGAAAGTTGTGTTCCTGATACCCCAGAGGCTAAACAAATCAATAACCTTATATGGAAAAAGCAAGATAGAGATAGGTAGTTCCTTTTACTTTTTCTTTCACTTTTAAATTTATTTAAAATTTATATATTTCATTCGACTGATAACAATAAATTACATTTTATTTTATTTTTTTTATTGTTGAAAAACAACATTTATTTCTTGTTCTATAAAGTAAATATACATTATAGTGATGTAAATTTTCCGGTAAAATTTGGTTTAAAATTTTTTGGTAATATTTACCTTGATTATTATTTAATTTTATTTCAAACATGTTGAATAATAATATCAATTACTCTATATCCTTCATTAAAAAATAAAAAAGATGATAAAACTGTTTTTTTTTTAATTATTAAAATTATTAATAAAAAATAAAATTATTAAAAGAAAGACTTGTAATTATTAATAACTGTTTATTTTCTGATTTTTTATTTTTTATTGTTAATTACTTAATACAACTATTTTTTATTTATTACAACTACATTGAAATTAAATACTTAGGTAATTTAATCAGTTTTTATACTTGGGTATGCAATCATTTGTATCAATAATTGCTTTTATACTTGGGTATGCAATCATTTGTATCAATAATTTGCATCTGTTATACTTTTAAGCAGTTTGTTAACTATTTAACTTCTAGAAAATTCAAATTATTTTGAATAATTCACCATCATTACTAGGCTTTTTACATTTGAGTTTAGCATCTAATATATACAACAGATTCTTAATTAGATAAGGATAGAGCGACTTTGCTGCCCATTTAACAGTAGATATTCCAGCATTTTGCACTTTTTCTTGCTGTATATTTTTGATTCATTGTCTTAAATAAGTTTTTTATACTCGATCCACTAAAATATAATATTGGTTTTTATATTGGTCCATGGTTTTATCAATTCTGTACAGGTGTTCCACACAAGGCATGGCTTTATGGTCATAACTATATTATTTACCTTTATCCAATTGTATTATTAAATAAGTGTTCTGAGTTTGGACTCCTACGTATTACATCGCTATTCCATTATTTGTAAGAACATAAACTTTTTTTTTTTTTTTGCAGTTTTTTGCAGTTTTTAAAAAAACACAGAACAAGTAAGTTACCGCTCAAAAATATACTTGAAATAACTAAGTTCGAGACACAATGTAGAAAGGGTGGTGCAATTCAAATGTATGAATTATTTAATAAACTAAATATATTAAAGTAGTGCAATATTAATAAACAATTACCATTGATTAATAATAAAACGTTAACAACACAGTTAAAAACTGAAATCAGAGCTGGTAAAAGGCTGCACACCAAGGTATAATTTTTTTACAATTCGTGTTGCAACTATTTGGAACAAGGTAAACTCTGTTGCAAAAATATTTTGTAACAGTTGCAAACTGTTGCAAAGAATTATGCAACTCTATTACAAAGAATTTAAATCATTTCAAAGGTTTAAGAGACAACAAAAAAAATTTAACTAATAAAAAATTATTTTTTTAATTTATTTTGCTTTTCCAAGTTAAAGAGGAAATCTTAACTAAAATATTTAACATTTTTTATCAAAAAAAATCAAATCTTTAGAATCAATTATTTATTTTCTCCCACTGGCATCACATTTTCTACTAACAAATTTTTTTCTAAATTTGTCTACATTGCCAAACTAAATTGCCTTCTTCATCTTTCCTTACACAGAGTTAGTCAAACTTACTTGCTTTTCTTCATCTTTCCGTACACAGAATTTTAAAATATAGGCGTTTAGAATAAAAATTTAATGAATAAAAATACTTCAGCAGGTTAGATTAAACTTTTTTTTTTCTGAATTTTTTCCTTTAGATGTAGTATCAAGACTTTCTCAATAATTGTTACTTTAAAATAACTGACTTAGATTTGAAGATTCTATGCTTTCATGAGTCTACTAGAATTGCATAGAAAAGTTAGTTTTATCAAAAGTTTAGGGTCTCCACTTTATAAAACTAAATGCTAATTCTGATAACAGGATAAATGTTATTTAACAAATAACCATCTTCCAAAACCACACTAGAGTAGGTTATTTAACAAAGTTGATTATATTGCTTAACTTAATTTGTCATGGCTAAAATTAGAGCTTTTCACCAAGACTAAAGTGGGTTGTTTTTTGCCACTGACAGGATTTCAACAAGAACACAAACCTGCGTTATTTATCAAAATCTTTTGAAGCGAAAAATAATTTATAGATAAAGTCTTTATCTGTTTTGTTGATTATAGTTTAGTTTTTTTTAGTTTTTTATTTTTTTTTCTGTTGTTGCTTTTTTTAGACGTCACTCCCATATTGATAAAAATGTTGCACCCGTTGAAGAATCTCCACTAAAAGGAACATCTAGTAAACATGATTTTATTTTCTGAAAGTATTCAAAAACGCATATTACGCTTTTACTAAAATAAAGCATTTTTCAGAAGATTATTAATGATAATCATCTGAAATTTTTTTTTTTTTTTTTATTGTTTTAGTTTATGATTATGTTTTTGAGGAAATCGCTTATCACTTTAAAATTCTTGTAAAATAACTTGATGTTATTTTTTATTTTCAGCTTCATTGAACTGTATTAGAAAGCTAGGCCGTTCACATTCATTTAATATTCGTTCATCTCCAAGAAAGTTTTATAAACTACAGCGTCATCCTACAATGATAAACGGTAGATGCAATGAAGAACCGAAAACTCCAACAAAGCACTTCCGCGATTTAGATTCTGTTATTAATGATAAAAATCGATTTTCAGCATCTAGAAAATTTAAAATAAACCAGACGCCGGAAAGTGCAATTAAACGAAGACGTAAGGCTATATTGTTTTCTAGCTTTACTGACGTTAATGAAAATCCGTCACGAAGTGACGTTTCGAATCACGAAGTTTTCTTTAATATAGACGAAGAAAGAACTAGTTCTGTTCGTCGTAGTATTTTTTCGCAAAGAGTTTCGTCCGACTCAAGTGAGATCAAAAAAGGTTCGGAAAGTTCGTCGAGAAAATTATTTTCTGATACAAGTGAACCAATATTATCATTAAATTCTCTGTTTAATTATTCCGGAAGTTTTGAAAAAGATAACGGAGCTAAATCTACTGCACTTAAAAGAAAACAGAGCAGTTCTCATTTTGCTAGAAAAAAATTATGTCTCTCTCCTCTTAATGATGGCTTTGATGATTTTTGCGATGACAATAAAATGTATGTTTCAGATTGCAAAGAGGCAAATAAGGATACTTTTGCCGAAACAACCGTTGATTGGTTAGAAAAAATAGAAACAAAAGATGTTGGAACACCGCGCAATTTAACGTTTCAAGAGACTTTTTTAAAGCTTTCTCCGAATCGATCCAAGAGTTCCCCTACATTAGTAAAAGCAGGGGATGATATTATATCAGTCTCACCCTGTCTTTCAGCTACTAGTATCAAATGTCTCGAAAAAGCGCCCCTCTTATCGCCGTACCGTCCTATTAAGAGAACAAAACAATGTCCCAGTCGAGTTGCTAGTAAATAATGAATAGTTTTTCAAAACTTTTTAATTGTTTTTAAATGTAAAAAAATAAAATTCAAATTTTAAAGGCTTATATTAATTACAATATGGCTTATTATTATTAAACAGCCAGTCCTGTTCGTTTTTAAAATTGGTGGATTTTTTACAAAAAAAGCTGAAATAACAAAAATTGAAATTAAATTAATAACACAAAATTGTAAAATAATTAATAGTACAAAAAAAAAAATTAAAACATGAAAATTTTTTTAATAATACTTATATTAAGTAGATGTTATTTATACTCAAAGGTAAATTCCAAAATATTATTTATTGGTTCTCTAGTATTAGGCTGTAAAGTCAGACAAATATTTTAGGAATTTTGATCAAATGGTGTCGAAAGCATTTTAAAACTTTAAAGTAGAACAAAGTGCATTATTTTCAAAGGGTGTTTCGCTTGATTATTAATTACTGGCTAGTTCAGAAGAGCGACTAAATCCTGATATACAGATGACAATAGTAATACTTGAAAACAACGTTTTGGGTATTTAGCGCGTATATCTTTTTAAATAGATATTTTACGATTATTTATTTCAACGCATTAAGCTAGATTACTTTTTCGTGTTACATTAGCAAGCTATATAAGTTAATTCTTGTAATATTAATTTGCTGCTGTGATATTTTATTAATAATTTTATAATTTGTGTTTATAAATAAAATAAATTTATTTTATAAATAGTAAATGAATAAAATAGTTTATAAATAAACTTTATAGTTTATAGTTATAAAAATAGTTTATAAACTTTATATTTTATTAATAAAAAAAATAAATAGTTTATAAATAAAATGAATAAAATAAAATAATGATGTGATTATAAAATAAATGTTTTTATAAATAAAATAAATTTATAAATAAAAATAAAAAATTTTTATTGCCATTTGTCTTAAACGCAAAACAACAAATTAACGTGTGTTATCCATTTAAAAAGATATACGCGTCATATACCCAAAATGTTGTTTTCAAGTATTACTTTCGTCACCCTCATATCAGGATTTAGTCGCTCTTCTAGTTCAAAACTTAAAATGATAAATTAGGTATAGTCTACCTAATGTTTTTTTGTTTTTGTTTACATTAGTTTGTCGTTGTACAATTATATAGTGATAATAATAAAAAAATACTAATTACAATTACCTTTCGCAAATTTACAATAATAAACTATATAAAAAAGGTAACTGGAAGAAGGTCACAAAGATCTTGTCATCAGAACCTTGAATTTATTTTTAACTTCTTAATTTAAACTTCTTATTCTCATATTCTTAATGAAAGAAAATATGCTTTATAAAGTATATAGACTAATACAAATACTAAAAAAATGTATAAACAAAGTAAAATGACTTAATATAAACAAAAATAATTTGCTTAGTAATAATAGAAAGTCAACAATTTCAGAATGCTACTATTAGTAGCACATAAATACTTTGTCCACAGAAAGAATAAAACTTTTAAGTTTAGTTTTAAAAACAGGGTAAGAAGAAGGCGAATCAAAATTTTGCAAAATAACCTTATTCCAAAGACATAGTTGACGATAAAATTAATTAAATTCAATTCGACTAAAAATATGGTTTAGCAAATCTTTATTTCTTAGGGTATATTTTATTGACAGGTTTTTAAGTAAAGATACTTTTTAAAAACTTTGGGAACTAAATTATTTTTCCACCGACAAAACATAAGATATTGAATACATTTAATTCATTTAAATTAAGTAATCTCATTTCATTGAATAAAGGCTTCGAATGAGTAAGACGATCAGCAAAATTGATAATACGAATTGCGTGCTTCTGACAGTTAAAAAGACGTTTCAATCTATTATTATTATTACATCCCCTGGCAATATCTACATAAACTAAATAGTTATGGATAAACTAGTAATAAAGTTGGAGCAAACTCATTTTATTCAAATAATCTATAGTTTTTAAATACAAAATTCCAATATTTTGAGAAATGTTTGTAATAATGTTATTTGTACCAAAATTTCTAAAAATATTTGTGTGATATTTCCATGCAATGTGTTCATCCATGAAAGCTCCTAAAAACTTTATAACACAGTTTCTTAATCTCAATTTGGTTGATAAAAATTGGAGGCAGTTTTATGGGCAGATAACGCTTTTTTTTTTAAGCGAATGGAAAATAATATATTCAGTTTTATTAAAATTTATTTTTAATTTGTTACATTTAATACAGGTAGAAATTTTTTTTTTAAGTTATTCATTGTAGAAAAAAGTTTACGAATATCATTATTAGAAAAAAATAGGTCAGTTTATGATGTAAGATGGTATGATCAACTGTATTAAATGCCTTTGAAAGGTCAATAAAAACACTGAATGTGTATTGAGAATATTCAAAGGAATTTGATATCTCGCGTACGCATTGAATGATTGCATGTTCAGAAGAACTGTGTTTTTTGAAACCGAACTGGTTGTTATATGATAGGTTATTATAATGTAAATAATAATACACTCTATTGTTTATAACTATATTACCATTTATGTCATCGGCACCAGTTGCTTTTTTTTTTTTTAAAGATTTTTTATCAAATTTACCTTTTTTAAAAAACAGTTTGGTTCTGGATTCATAGCAACACCCTTAGCAACGCCTTTTCTCTTATTTCTCCTAAACCAAAAAGGCAATCAACTTTAAATTATTGGTGAGAGGTACTTAAGACGTTAGTCTTCACCTAAAATATTCCTTTAAGCTATAAGCTGTACGTTGAAGCAACAAAAATATTCTCTATATAAACCTCCTGAAGGATAACAGTTTTTTGCCCTTTAGTTTAAATTGAGTTATAATTAAAAATTAGTTTATGTTTATATTTGAAAAGTTCTTTAAGCAAGTATAAGTATTCTAAAGGTGAAAAAAATTTTTTAGAGGAAAATTTAAAAGAAATGACAAAATACAGCATCAAATGTTATAAAAAATGTTGTAAATAAATTTGCTTCTGCAGAGAAGTTAGAAATTTATTTGGAATCAAATTATGATTCTTCATCTCGTCCCACTGATTTCGAATGTAACTTTACTATTAACAATGAATTATTTGTATCTCTAATAACCGCCATTGGTTGATGTCCTGCTTGTATTAGCAGTATCACTATTTAGTATTTGATTTTAAGGGGATTAGTACAGTTCTTCAAATTTATTTGAAAATTTATAATTTATTTGAAAATTTTAATTTATTTGAAAATTTATAATTTATTTGAAAATTTATAATTTATTTGAAAATTTATAATTTATTTGAAAATTTATATTTTATTTGAAAATTATAACTTTTCATTTAGTACACTGCCTCAAAATATAAAAACATCCATGGGGAAGTAAATATAAAAACATCCACGGGGAAGTAAATATAAAAACATCCATGAGGAAGTAAATATAAAAACATCCATGAGGAAGTAAATATAAAAACATCCATGGGGAAGTAAATATAAAAACATCCATGGGGAAGTAAATTTAAAAATATCCATGGGGAAGTAAATATAAAAACATCCAAGGGGAAGTATATAGTATTTTTTTCATGAACAAAGCTTAATTAAATTATAAAAACTATTTGCAGTTTACAAAGTTGTATTCTAGCATTCTGCTCCAACAAATTTTCTAAAAAGTTTTTCTGAATAAAACCCGCAATGTAAATTGACGTTTACTTGATATTGAGAAGAAAACAACCACTACTTATAGTCTATATTTCGAAAATGTTCCCAATGGCTGTTCCTAATGGCTGTTCCCAATGGCTGTTCCCAATGGCTGTTCCCAATGGCTGTTCCTAATGGCTGAAGTGAACGCACGCTTTTTCGCTGCTTAAAGAAAATAAAATAGAAAATTTTTTTTTTTTTTTTATTTTTATTTTATTTCACCTCCTCAAGGCCGAGAAGGCCACTACAGACGAGGAGGCTACTTATTTAAGGTTATAACCCTCTCTCAACTCTATAACTCCGAAACACGAACCTTGACGAGCAAGGCCACTGCGCCGAGAAACGAGTTGAGCGCGGTACTACCAGGGACGTGGTGGGGATCGAACTCGGAACCACTCGTTTATGAAGCGAGCGCTCTACCACTACACCACTACCGCATCGTAAATCGTTAATAGTATTAAAGTTACTTATATTATATTAATTTAAACTTATTGAACATGTCTATCACACTTGTTGAAGTTAAAAAATTAATAACGGAAATGTTTATGAAGTGGCTGTTCCCAATGGCTGTTCCAAATGGCTGTTCCCAATGGCTATTCCCAAACGCTGAAGTGAACGCACGCTTTTTCGCTGCTTAAAGAAAATAAAATAGAAAACCGTTAATAGTATTAATGTTACTTATATTATATTAATTTAAACTTATTGAACATGTCTATCACACTTGTTGAAGTTAAAAAATTAATAACGGAAATGTTTATGAAGTTTAAGATCGAGACGGAAGAAATGCTTTAGCAACAAGAAAATACTTTCATCAACATAGTTAGTTCTAATACAAAAATATTAAATGATCGATTAGACAGAGTTGAACTTAACATACTTCAAAACTCAACTAAAATAGCATCAATTGCAAAGGAAGTGGAAGAAATCAGAGAAAGTTTAAATTTTCATGAAGATCTCTTTAATAAAAAAATAAAAACCGCCATTGATTGTCTTGCAAAAGAAAATCTGGCAAACTTCAAAATACAAAATAACAACAATGAACTTATAAAAATAAATAACAAACTCAGAGGGATTGAGGATAGGTCAAGGCGTAATAATTTAAGAATCGATGGTGTCCTTGAAAATAACAATGAAAGCTGGGTTGAATGTGAAAAGAAGGTCAAAGAAATATTCAACAACATATTAGGAGTCAAAAATGTAAACATCGAAAGAGCGCATAGAATAGGCAAAGTAGTTCACAACAAACATAGAACAATAATACTAAAACTTCTTGATTTTAAAGATAAAACTGAAATTCTTAACAACTCTTCCAAATTAAAAGGTAAAAACATTTTTATATATGAAGATTACTGCAAGGAAACAAATATTATACGAAAGACACTACATGAAAAAATGAAAATAGAAAGGCAAGCTGGCAAATAC